TTTGTGGCTTGGCGCCTAAATCCCTCTATGGTTGTGTTCTGCCTTAGTTCAAAGGCTAGTCGCATAAAGAAAAAATCGATAAATCGATCGTTGATTTCTTTGAGGCATTTTGATTTTAATCCACAACTTGAATTTGTAACAATTGAATTTTGCTAATTTTAGGTGCCGAGGCGTTGAACGAGTATCTACAGACGAAAACGATCACATTGGAATATTAAATTTTGACGTCACTAATTTTGTTCTACCGTAGACCTTTAGGCTACCTGTATTACTTGTTATTCTAAAGAGTATATGTTTGGGATATTATCTAACTGTGATACAAAGTTTAGATGTTCAAAAAGATTCAGATATAATAAATAGTTATTTTCTATCGGGTTTGTTAGGGAACAGAATAGCAGAGCGGTCAGAAGCGCTGACAACTTTATGCTCAGTTTATGAGATCGAATACAGCCTCAGTCCAACAAATCGTGGAGTCTCTACAATCAGTGAACTATGGCAGGACAAGGACTGAACCAGCGACTTGCTGCTGTCCGAAGCTTGCCGTTTCTTCAGCACTATTCCAAATGTTTCTACGACTGAAATTTAGGGCTTGTTTCTGGGTTTTGAAACGAGCTATCACCAGGCTTGCCAACCTCAAACTATCTAAAGCAGCCATTTTCGACTGGGAGAATTGAGGAGCCAGCCGTTTTTCAAAGGAGCTCCGCCTTTGTTGGCCTGGCGCTTATTCCACAAAGGAAACGAGGTCACCGGACTGGATTGGCCCCAATCGAGGAGTTTCTTCCGATTAATCTTTGAGCGCCAGCGATCTCCGCAACTTCGGGTGGTCAGTCGATCGATCTGGCGAATGCGTCAGTGTAATGGTCACTGTTATCAGCTGATATAACCCGTCGGCCATGTTCTCTTTTGGTTTGGTCAACTCTTGAAGATTTCGACTTCTTACGCTTAAAAGCTTTCGCTTGTTATACTCGCGTTCAGTTCAATTCTGCGTGTATTCAGTCGAATCACAGTTTCATTGTCAATTACTGATTCTTTACTTTCTACGCGATTCGAGTTCAAACATTACTCCACTTTTATAAATCAATAATCGATTAGAATCACAGTAACCATCAGAGACGACGTACTCCTTGTCGCTCACACTCATAGATCGCTTATAGTCGTTTATTGTGCAGTTGTCGCTTATGTAACTGATAGTGAGTCTTATCTCAAGGCTGCAATTCCGAACGAAAATCCTGCACATGGCGTAACACAGAGTTGCACTAATCACATGCCACGTTAAGGCCTGCCTCTACGGACGCATGTCGCAGTTTTTGTATGCCCCAAGCCGCAGTTATACTGTTGCGAAGCGCTTTCCTGTGTTCCCGCGCCCCGCGACGTCGTGCTCTGGCGCCGGTGCTCGCCCGGTTGCCGTCACCCTGTCTCTCGTTCTGCTGTGGGCCGTCGGGTGCTTTGCCTCGCGGGGGCGCTCGCAAAGTCGTTCGATAACCCAATTTCCTGAGAAGATGGTCAGGGCGTTTCGCCGTTCCACGCAGGGTCACATCTGCTGGCCAAGGGCTGCAGGCGTATCAGCAGTGACAGCGCCTCCAAGCACTGAATCGCCTTCCTCTCAATAAATAATTTTGGAGCAGAAATGCTTCCAGTAGCATCACATTTTCGTCCAAAGCCTCACTTGTCTTTCTATTCGTTGGTTTTCCTCAATTTCTCTTACTCGCACACTTATTTGGTCATGGACATGAGAGGGTGACCCCACATGCGATTGCTAGGACACACGAGTTGGTAGGTGTGACGTAGGAAGGTTAAGGTCGCTTCTATCTAAAGTGTCCCTCTCCCACGTAGAGATGACTTATCAGCACGTGGGCACCCTCATTGTGTAGAGGTGCGAGGCCACTATACGAACCACTACTGCTCATTTTCAGGTGTTGCATTTGTGCCCTGGCCACTTGTTCCAGGAGGGGGAGCATAGGGTGTTGCACTTTTGTAACATACGGTAACCTCAAAACTCGCTGGGAAAGGAAGCACTAGGGTGGATGTTTGAAGCGTGAGCGAAGTGTACAGCGATGCCTGAGGAGGATTTCTACTACTGGCAAACTTGAAATTACTATAGGCAGGAACGCGAGTATTTTGTCCCGCCTGGCATGCCGCTGCCTCATTGGCGTAGGACCCAGAATAGATTTCTTCTTTCCGATTTCTGTTTTACTTTTAGCATAAGATCTAGTGCAGTAGCGAATACGCTTCTGGAGTGAATCTCTTCGAGAGGAAAAAGACCTTAGAGGCACTCCCTGTCCCATCCATGAAAAAAGGGACTGGCATATATCATGCGATACTGTTATATGATCGCTGAAGGTACATTAACGTCCTCTAATTGTCATGGGACTACACGAATCGTCGATGCAATAACAGAATACGGCTACGGAACTTGTAGCAACAATAGTTTTCGGCGGAAGCGAGCGACACGCCACACTATTTTGAAAGTATTCCTTTCTAATGTCGCTTTCGCTCTGCGTAACGCTAAGAACGGCATCCATTAGGTAATAGGTTGCTATACGCCCCTCTCTTGCCGTGAATCCCGGCAATCTATGAGATGCTCTTGTGGAAGCGTTCCCACTAACGTCTCCGAGTGGCGTGAGGAAATCGAAAAAAGTGTCGGTTAGTTTTACGACGCCCATAAAACCAGCGCAGACCTTATCCTGAAAAAAGGGACATGGCGAAATCAAAGATCACACCGGAAACTACACGGGCGGAATTTCTGCGAGCACACATTTCTGTGGGTATTTTGCACCAAGACATAATGGTTTGAAGAGGAGGGAATACATGAGCATCACCTCAATAAGTGGGCAACCGTCAGCACTTATGGAGAAATTTTCACGAATTTTCACGAGATCTACTCCCGGACTCGTAGCCACTAAGCACATCCACGTCGCCCTTCTAAAGCGCGCCTTGCTATGACCTCCAACTGAATGCGCTAACGTTCAAGAGAGTCAGGCAATCCCCACAAACGGCACTCTCCTGAAGATCTCCCCGGTCGCTCTTCATGATTTGTCTGGCCGACACACTCCCAACGCCACCTCATCGCACGGCACTCCCATCACCCTCCTTGCGAGGACTGACTATCTACCATTGCATCTGAGACGGCAGTCGATCCAGACTCCGCTCGGCAGCCTTCCCGTAACTCCAAGTCCAGAACACGGCAGATGGCTCTGGCAGTTCGGGCATGTATTTATTCTTCAGAAAATTGCGACAAGAACTTCGAAGAACAGACGGCCCGACGCCCCTCCTCATTCTGCCTTTCAGCTAGGACAAACTGAACGGGCCGTCAACACTCGTTACTCTGCGCACCACCCTGCTCAAAAAACTTCAATAGCGACTACCTCCCAATAAGGCTAACTCACCATGTCGAAAAAGGCCTAGACCTTAGCCTTATCTAGAATTTCCAAATAAGGCTCCCTTGTGATATTATAATCCTCAGAATTTCCAAATAAGGCTCCCTTTGATATTCAACCATACTATGCTAAGTCTCTTATTAGATTATTTTTAATTTAATGCAATATTATGAATTTTTACCTTTTTTAGCTCCTAATTTATTTTTGACACTTCATTATTGTAAATGGAACCTCTGCTCGAAGAACCTTAGAGTCAAAGTGAAAGCATTTTACTCCTGAAGGGAGAGGTGGCGCGACTGTTTTTAAAAAAGAAACAATATTTCCTTGATTTGACTAGTGTTCTTGCAACAGTGCTGAGCTATGATTATTGATTGACGCGCAGGGTTACTTCACTTCCTTGACATTTTGTTGCTTCGAAATCGCCATCTGAAAGAATTGAACCGTCCCTCGTTCAGATGGAGACGAATGGGTTGTAATCGCAAGCAGTGCTGGTTGCCATGCGGCTCTCAACGCAGCGAAGAATCGTCCACAAAACATCAGGGTATGTCAGAGACAAACGGATTGAATTTTCTCGTGTGGTGGTCTTTAGGTACGGAAAGAGGAAAATGAATATGTATGACCTTGCCCATTATAGTTTTCTCTAAAAAAGGCTCCAATACGGCGAGTGGCTCATCCACTCCCCGAAATCTCCTGATCCGCCAAACACTCCCTCTTGCTCACAGCTTTCCCTTCTGCAGCGGATGATCACAGGGCACTCGCTGGGGCAGTGGGCAAGACACGCCCCTTTTCCGTATCTAAAGTCACGCACTCGACTTTCTCAAACAGAGTTGAACAGTCAAAGACGCAAAGGAACACGAGCAACGCACATTATAGGGCCTGTTCCTGTTCTGTCCGGGTGTCTCGTTGTCGTTCAAGTATGTGGATGCATTTTTCCCCGGTGGTAGTGCGGCCCTACTCGCGGGCAAAAGTCTCATCCATCCAGCATCTCGTGGAGGCCATGAGGCCTTGATGAACCGCGAAAACCTTCAGCATTACTTAGATGTAAGTATGATTATTGATTAGTTCCGTAAAGAGACCAGGCATGAATTTAAGGATGATTCAGACCTGTGTAACCCAAACTGACGGAGCGATTGACATACGATGCCCAGTGAGCATCGTTCATGGAACAAACGATGAGGTGAGAAGCATTTCTTGCTCAAAAACAGAGCGAAGAAAAATTGCGAACTCAGACGCGTGCGGTCGCGTAGCGTGTTCGGCAAGATAGTCGTCTACATCGCCACGAAACTCCAGCAGTCGTACCGCTACCGCCCGCGTCTGCAATAGCATAATTTGTTCTATCAGGCATTGTCAATAGGGTTATTTGATTAATCTCATTCAGCTAGTACCGTACCAAAATTCTATCGCCCTCTCAAAACGCTTAGTATCATCTGATGTTGATCTTACACTGATACCTGATGGCACACACTTCCTTTCGGTAAGTGAATTCTTAAGCTCTTTCCTTCAGCCTGCAGTTCCGATCAAATTTTTAGGTAGACAAGGTACCGAGGAGAAATTGGACTCATTTCTTGCAACGGTGCTTCGTTACAAATATCATTCAAAACGGCGGTGTTCCGCAAAACTGTGATCCGATAATAAAGCACATTTATGACATCGCGAAGGCATGTTTCTCTTATTGCACGACAGACGCTAAGCCCCGATGCCCCCCCCCCGACATAAAAGAAAGGACACTGAAAAAATAGAGCAGGAGTTATCTATCCCCACCACACTGAGTGCTTTTCTAAATCCAAGCCATTGACTGTCATCTGTTTCTTTCGCTCAAGATAGTGGGCGCTCTAAGATATCCATGCTCCACAAATCGTCTCCAAACGAGTCAAAATTTGTGTAGTTGGATAAGCTTTCATAAAAAAGTTCGCCTTTCGAGGAAACACTTCTTCTAAAACAAAATGTTGGAAGAAATGGTAAATAAATCGACTCACTGCACAATGAAGCAGGGTTAACCGTGCTTTGGGAATTTGCCAACAAAACCCTCGTATTTGGTTTTTCTAGAAGGTGGGAGGAGGCCATATTGTGGGACTCCCAAGGCTAATGGCGGTCGTGAGGGAGGGCCACCTATGGTGGGTGAGTCGGGAAGTCCTTCCAAATGTCGCAGTTGACCTTGCCTCGTTATTTGGTTTGAAGAATTGCTCAAAATGCAGACAAAAAAAAACGATATCTTTTGATGTAACCCTCTGAAACCCTTCTCGTCATACATGTGCACCTTTGAAATTCCCCACTTCTCGAATTACACTCATCCACCAGCTAGCTAGGAGAGCTCTTACCAGTTGATATTAAGCGCCTCGCCATAAGGCGCAGGATAGACGGCGCAAACAAAACGGATGACGTCATTCACAGGGTTGAGGCTCCACTTCAGCATACACGGCCTCCTGCTGTTCAGATGCGCATACTTTTTTTTATACGAAGTTATACGATGGAAATCGTCTTAGATTAGTTCTGAATAGTGCTGCTACAATAAATAGAACAACAAAATAAGCTATTCAAACGCCACAGTTACTCATTCAGCTCAACTGCGGAAACATGACAAGATTTATTAGAAATTTGATGACTAAAAATAAAATCACAGTTTGAAATATACAAGTGCGAGAGCAACTACGTGATCTCCCTAATCACAAGTCAACAAAATGGAAACACACGTTCAGGAAATCATCATCGGAGAGCTAGGAGAAGCCCATATTAAGAGTTATAAGTTGAAGCAAGTAAGTATCGAGGTTATTGCAAATAGTAGAAGAAAAACAAAAAAAAACTGAAAAAGAAGTCAAGTATATGTATTGGACCTGTGAAATTGGACTATAGAAAAGTAGTAGACGCTTTCACAAGAAAAAAAAAACAGTTAAAGTAGTCGAGCTTTGATACCCTTCCATGAAAACAACTCGTATCTACCTGACATCGAAGCCTTTCCAAAGTTTTCATGCATGTTAGCGATAAGTAGGTTTACGTTACTTGCATTATTGCTGATCTTCTGCCGCCAGTAGTCGCCGTCTCACGACATCTTCATCAGCAGCAACGACCTCATCCTCGTCATTACCGTGATCTTCTTGATCAGAGCTCAAAACATTGTAGAAGACTCGTCGCCGCCAAATAACTTCACGCCACAGTAAAGGTACCAGACATGCTGTTGTACAAATGATCTGAAAGCAACAAAACCATTGCTTTAGTGTAAAATGAAAAATAACAGGAGAAAAATGAAAAATACTGGAGAAAACGATAGAGGATAAAGCTATCGAAGGGCTGATCAATTCGGGATGCGCAACGCATTCAGCTGCCATTCGGTGTAGTAGAAGTGAGTGAAAATCTATTTTACCTGTGTAGTGACCAAGAGAATATGTCAATGCTCTTTAGCATTGAAATATTTTGTATTCTACGCTGGTATCAGCTCACCGTCTACAAAGCAACTGACAGCTTAAATAACCTGAACAAGATTTGCCCGGCAGACGTCTTTGAAATGTTACGTCTTTTTACGACTGTCTAAGATCTTAATCTCGTAGGTGACAGTTGAGTCTTATTCGTTGCAAATCAATGACAGATAGCTTCTTGCTTAGCAGTGGAAAAGGGGCCCTTACAAAGCCTGTTCATATCAAAAACACATGACACAGCAATATCGAAATGTTATTCACAGTGAACATGAATTATTCATGAATTCTACTGCAAGACGCTATATGCTAATAAAAATAAGAAACCATTTGCTCACCATAACAATGAATCCATAAAATACAGAATTCCATCCGAACACAGCTTGGATCGAAGGAATGAGCAGTTGCCCAAAAGCAGCTCCAAAACTACCCGTACCTGAACGACTCTAGCTCAAGCGAACTTCGAAAACCTTACTAGAAATTGTTCACAAATCTATGCTATTTTCGAGAGTAAATCAGTAGAATATTCTTGAAAAGGACTGCTTTCTACTCACTACAATCCAAAATTGGTGGAACTCACCATCAACGATTCCAGTCACAGTTGAAAGAGCTTCTGCATTTCCTCTAAGTTCGCGAGTTCTACCTAAAAAGGGAGGCCTAGTAAAGGGATCAGATCCAAAAAATGCTTGTTCGCTACCTAAATCAGCAG